CACTTTTTCCACATACTTTTGACAGTTCTGACTAGCCCGGCGCTTAAATAGGTGGAATCAACGTTCACCCGGCTAAAAAATTCGATTTTGGCGAAAAATCCAACAAGACAATAATTGCAAAAAACAATAATTGCATTTTTTATTTCAATAACGCATGAGTAAACAGGGATATGAACGCAGATTTAATATAGGCCCATAGAATTGCGGGGACCGGCAAGGATTTGGAAAGTCTGAATACAAGTCCTGCTTACAGCTAACAAGTGCTGAAATGGGACATAACCAGAGGTAGAAAGGTCTCGGAAGCACTTGGGAAGAGGCTTTCCAAGACCTATCCAGTTCTGAACGGAAAGACCTAAGTAGAACTTGTCAGGTCCAATTATTCGACTCGGGCGACGCGTCTCCCTGAGGGCGTTTTCGGGAGTGCCGTTGCTGGGATATGTGCAGGGTGCAGGGGCTACTATACGTGTAGGGCTAGGGAAACTGGTGCACGTATCGCCTGTCTAAGAGAAATGCGTCTTTTTTTCCAGTTTCGCACTCCACAAGGAGTCATAAGCGGTTAGAATGGGTTCCTCGAACTGTTTGCTCGACGATGTGAAGAGAACAGATTTTTTATTAACATTAAACATATTTAATTATGTAATTCAATTGCCTTCGGCCAGTGAGCGATGGAATCGAACTTTGTGAATGATACCGTCCAGCATGCATCCAATGCCGCCCATCTTGTTTTGATAATTTTTTTGAGCAATGCAGGCCAACTGTTATAGTTTTTCCTATTTTCATCCTTCGTTTCCATTCTTTGGTTCCATTGTGAGAAAGATTTCACGTGAATAATAATAAATTATCTTGAATTTACCCGAAGTTCCGGTGGCCACCGACTACCCCCAAACAATCGAGAGCTGTTACTCGACCGCCCTCTAGCTGCAGAGTTTACCAGCCCTATGGAATCTTGGGCGGTATTACTCACAAACTCTGGGCGGATTTACACAAAAACGTGGAGGCTGAAAAAACAGCCAAGAATAGTTGATGACAATATTTTTCTGCTATCGAAAAGGTCGTAATGGATTTGAAAATGTATAACGAACATATATTTCGCACCCCATTCAATTACGGACCAACTGGAAATTTGAAAAATCTTAAATTCTGGGGTCGAAACATTTCAAGAATGCGGTAAGAAATAATTCGGATTTTTTTAACGATGTTCCCACGGTAGAAAATTAAAAATTTCCGGTAAAATTAATTGTTTTTATCAAATATTTGCATAATAAAAAAAAAATTGTTTCTCAGCCAATCCTGAGAAATACGGGTGGGCGATATTACCCGCTGGGCGGTAAAAGCACCAGCTCCCCTATGTCTAGTAGACGGGTGGCCGCCGGGTGATAAGGACACCTCGCGCGATATGGGCGTCGTACTTCAGGGGTTAAGGATATTCAAGGATCTTTTACAGTTTGGTACAGACATCACTAATAGATTCAACCATTTCCAGTCATCAAATTTGTCAATTAAATTGTGTGAAATAAATTTTTAAAAAATCACGAATATTCAGCATCATTCAACTTAAATTTTGTACAAAATTATTATTTATTTATAAACATTCGTTGTTTAGAAATAAATAATTGAAATTGTTTAAATTCCCGGAAACCTTATTTTTTATGCATGAAATTGATTTTCGGTAAAATTCTGAATATGAATGAATTTGTTACGATTCGAAATAAACAAATTTCGTGATGGGAAATTGATTGTTTATAATTACTTTATAGAAAATGCTCGTAATTTTCAAAGATTGCAATTTTTCAATTATTTTAATAATCTTTCTCCCCAAGTAAAGTTTTTATTTTTTTTTAGGTTTTTAAAATGTTTTTTTCTAACAGTTCAATATCGGGATTCAAAATCAGACCTGCAAAGTTTAAATAAATCATTGTAAAATGTTCCGAAACTTCAACTCAAATGGGGTTCAAATTAAAGCTCTGATATAGAGTATATATAGAGTATAAAAGCATTTCACTGGAGAAAAAATAGCCAAAGTACTTGGATATCCTTAATTATTGACGGATTTGTTGTGGACTTATATCTTGTTTAACTACTCCACTATCGAACCTTTTGTTTTTTATTTTTGCTTCTTCTTTTGCGAAAAAAAGCGTTAGATTTCTGAGAGACCTTTAATTTTTCCTTCTTTAGTTCTGACTCGATAAAATACGAATTAGGCTGGGACATGGAATTTTGAGAGGAAAAAAAAATTAGTTCTCCATCTCACAGCTCTCTATCACCTCAGATTTTATTTTGTAGCCTATGAAATATCCTCATATGGATGTGCTCAAATGAATTACAATAAATCTCATGGCACAGTATCCTTGACCCTTGCTGGGAGAAACGAATGCTCTTCACAGTTACGCAAATGATATGCATCATCATCTGAATTAGAAAAGGAATGCTTGTAGTGACATAAATGAAAGGTTCATCATAACGGGTCTCACCGATAACACAATATGTGTAGAGACAATCCGAAAGTGTGGTCTTGGCGTGATATCAAATTTTCGGTTAAATGATGAATGCCACTGCTATTTTCGATCAGTTCAGGCAGCTTCATCAATCCGTTTGTTCGACCCTTCCACCAAATTAGATATTGTTGCGGTTCGGGCGAATTCAAGTTCATTTGTTATTATAAATAAACACGATTCGACCTAGTAGCCATAAAATAATATTTTTATTTAGTGGATACTTATACTTTAAAGTGCTAGGCACATCCGCACTTGTTATTCAGTCTTCGGGATCAGGGAAATAATAAAAGAAAATGAAAGAAAACCAATTTTAATGCTACTAGACTCGAAAATGATAACAATGGCCAAAATACAATAACTACTTACACCTCCTCCACTCAACACTCACACTCATACATCCACTCGTTTTACAATTGCGTAGTCCTATCCTTATCACGACAGTGATCTCCGCGTCGTTGTTTTGACAAAAACTATTGATGAAAAGGTTGAATGTGTCCTTGCACGAAACTCCACTTGGGAAGAACGGGACCGAGTTATTTCGCACCTCGTTTGCCGGATCCGAGAAGAGTTAGATTGTTTATAATAACGTGGGATTGATCACTACGAAGGTGTGCGTAATTGTGATCAATGATAATCCCAAAATACTCGAGTTGACGATAAGCGCCGGGCAGAGGGAATTTAACTGATTCCGGAATCAAGTATCAATCAATCTCTAGGACCCGTGTAGAAATCTCTCCGGTCAATCCCCGATTGCTACACAGTCAAGCCGGGGCTCAGTGATCGGTTCGAGCGCGTGAGCTGAGTTTCAGCCGCATCCCCGCTTGAATTTTTACACTGGGAGTTCGCCCCTTTGTACGTCCCTTGATGAAGTTAGGACGACACTGATTAATAATTCCGGAATCGGTATAGGGTGCAGTTCGGTCAATGTCCGGGTGCATTGGCCGGGCTGCTGATTCACTGGCATTTCGAAATAATACCTGGTGGGCATTCCATGGATGATGCCGTGTGGAGAATTGGGAAATCAATGTGATTTATTCGCTCGATTCGAAATGAAAAGAAAATGATTAAATTCTTTTTTTAATTTTGAATTCTCAAACACAACAATATCTAAAAAAACGAAGAAATTGCTCCTGGTGTTAACTAGTAAACTTAATTAAGTCGATTGCGGCGGAGAAATAATTCAAATTTGAATTAAGAAATTTCTGAAAAAAATCTATCCCATTCCATTGACTTCAACTGCACTGATTTTTTTCTTTGGTGAATCAAACTCCAGCTGTCATTGGAAAAATCAGATGATAAGATGCTCACAGAATTTTGCCGTGATTGTGCATTCATCTTGAAAAATAGTGGAGTTGTTTGACACTGTTGTTACGTTCACCTCATGCCGGAAAACGCCTTTTTTTTACTTGTCCACGAAAAAGGCAGAGTTTGGACACTCGCGGAACGTAGCATCATTGTCAAAAAATATTGTTCGACACATGTGAGACGGAATTTTTACGAGTGTAAAGTTGGCGGCCCGAGGCGAAGCCTCACACTGGTATCGAAATATACTATTTCGTAATTCTAAAAGTTTCCTACAAATACGCTCTTCTGTCAATTTCCAGGGAAAAAGATTTAAAACGAACATTATTTCGAATCGAGAAATAATTTGAAAATCGATTTGCTACGTTTTATATGAGGATTTATTCATTGATGTCATAGCGAATAAAATCATTTCGAAGAAGTTACTGTTGATTGAAGATAAAATCATAGATAAGAGCAACTATTGCTTAAAACGAACCTCTTTACATTGCAGTGCATCAATTACAAAAAAATGTTTTCATTTTTTATATAAAATAACAATATATATTTGTGGAGAAATTTCTACTCAATGATTAATCAAATATAGACCTTACATGAATACATACACTTACATTAAGATATGTAGGTATGTATTAGGGTGCCAGTCAGAGGGATTTTTTCGGTGGCGCTCTTTGGATATGTTCGAAAGGAATAAACGACAAGACACCATTATAAGCATTTGTTAGATTTGAAGAAACAATTTCATGAGAGAAATGGCTAACCAGAAAGTGAACAAATGTACCGGCCTTTTAAACTCCGTGTGTTATGTTACGGCTGAACAAGAGTGGGGGGTGAATTGGATATAAAGCCTGCAGTTGCATAGCACGTCAGTTTATTCGTAGTCGGACGAAGGCATATAACCATTGGTAAAGGCGAAAGCTAGTTAGGAGTGCAGAAGTATTTTCCTACTGAACAATAAGAAATTTCGAAATTCTTTTCAAACTTTAGAATACTCAAATACTTTTTGAAATTCAGTAATTTGCATAAGAAGACTTTTTGTGACTCATTTCTTTCATTCTTCGGAAGTTCGAAGGCGGGTGAATTTCTACAGTAAAATAATTTTTTTAGAAATTCATTGTGAAGGAAGTGAATGGTTACAATGTCAGCGAGTACTTGTGAATATCTACCTGTTGGCCAACTACATGATGATGAAACTGTGAAGAACGAAAGCGAGACTAGGTAACTAAGTGATATAGGAAGAGGTAGACTGTAAAGAATCACATTCTATATATGTCTGTCGATTGTTCATTAATTTCTGAAACTTGAATGATTTTCGAAGGGAAAGTCTTTCATCTTCTCATGTAGTTGAATAAATTTACAAGTAACCTTTTTACATTTTCGTCTAGAATAACTCAGTATCAAGATGATGCAGTGTTTATCATTATTTATTTATTGATTTTATTTTCATAAGTACGGTAACTGAAGTCCATAATGGGATTCCAATTGGCAGCGTACTGGCCAAGAAAAGTTTTGACCGACTGAGCAAAACACCGCGTATCTATACACGACAGAGCTTTACCCTCCATTACCTCTAAATGATTTACATTCGGTATAATGAAAACGGGACGACAAATCGGGAAAGTGTCGTTATTGTTGATATTCTCTCGAGGATTGTTTGCTATATCTTGTTAGTGATAACAAGACATGGTCACCAAACTTCGTATTTTTACGTTTCAGACTATTCTACATCATTTCTAATCGAAATTAGAGAATGTGAAAATCGAAGGATTGCAATGCTTCCATTCGGAAGCAAAAATTAAAAAAAAGAAATTTTTCCGACCACAAGAATTGATTTCTACCGTTATATTCATTTTTCTTCTTTTGAAGAAAGGAATTAAGGAAGATATGTAAATTCCACTCCTGATATTATCGGAGTGATTACGATTTTCCCCTATTAAATGGGAAGTTCAAAGATCTTACTTTGTTGTTTGTTTATCTTACTCCAAACTAGAATGGAAGTTATATTTCATACTATTCGAAATTTTATAGGTGAAAATTAGAATGTTACGGATTAAATAATCCAAACACCCTCATAGCACGTGTACTTCATTCAACAATCTTATCTCCGCTTTTTGAATTGGACAGGAACAGATCTAACAATGTGTGCCGACATAATCAAGTTGGAAGATTATCTTAATAGATTTCTTCATATTTTCGCCGGAAATCACTGTTACCCGAGATAAATTTCTGATTAACAAAGATACCTAGGTTGATTCAAGCCATTTGATTGATATGCTCCAACGCGCATATTATAACATCGGTAGCATCATAGGGAATCTAGAGTATATTGATACCAACAAAACATCAAAATTATAAGTCATCCGATGGCAATCAATAAATAATTTTGTAATAATGTGGTAAACTCAGATAAGTCAACTCAATTCCACAACAAATAATTTCTTCACGGATATCTTTGCATCTGAGAGAGATGAAAGCATTCTTTTGAGAATTTTCTTTGTAAAGCTTTTTTTATAAGAAAGGTGGACAGAAACAGAAGAATATTCTCCTTGATAAAATATCCATATTTTCTAGTAACTGGTTTCCAAGTAAAATATAGAGGTCTTTTTCATAATTCACTATTGAATTAATGTAAATACACTAGAGATGCACAATGGCGGTCATATGACGCACAAACTTATTCAAATAGTTTATACGCAATCGGAGCTCTCGAATTCAATTATTGGTGGAGATATTGAAGATTGAATTTTTTGTACTTCTAAAAACCTTTTTCTTTCAATTCTAATTTCGAGCCCCTATGAACAACAAAAAAAAATTGAGCCCATAGATTTGGTCGGACTTTTTCGCAGCTTTGGGAAAAAAATAGTTATTTTCGTCACTCGGCCCGATAAACGGCGCTTACTCGGGCTCTGTCGAGAGGGGGTAAAGAGAGTTTACCGCGGCACTTGAATAATCGGTGCTCCAAGGAGGGTAAATGAGACGCTNTCTTTATTTATCTATGTATTTTGGCACGGAAAACTCAAAAGGAAAGTTTCAAACGGTTAGCGATTTTCGTGACATGTTCTTCTACCTTATCCGGGTGTGTTTCTTAGAAACGACTTTTTTTATTTTCAATTTCGACGTTTCTTGGGAATTAAAATTTCGGTAAAAGAATTGAACCCTATCAGGTAAGGGGTTGGAGGTTATTTCAGTCTCCAAAAACACGTCAAAATCCGAAACAAAAAAATTCGTTTCGAAGAAACACACCCAGATGTGACTAATAATGTCTTGCAGCCGTTATTCCTTTGCAGGGATGTTGCCGTTTTGCCAATGGTATTGCTATTAGCCGGAGTGGTAGATATTTTTTGGCGTCCAACGATGTTTATATGAGCGGGAGATAACGTAAGGCATTTTGGTTCGGCCGGGGGGG